TTCAAGCCTTTAAAACCCCAGACGCTGTATCTTTTGAAAGCGGGGCACCACCAGCTTTCGAAGAATATTTTTAATCACGACAATGCCCCTGCTCATTCTTCCTGGTTAGCAAGGGTAAACCTACAAGAATTGTAAGAATCTCATTAGAAAGCCTCACTCTAACCACCTTATAGCCCTGATCTCAACCCTTCAGTTTTGTTACCAAAACTCAAGGATCATTTCAAAGAAACATGATCGGAATCACTCAAGGTTGCCAAACTGCCACTTTGGTGTGATTTTAAAGCTCAGAGCATGAACTTCTTCATGGAGGTCTGGAGAGATGGAAACACTGCCTTCAGAAGTACATAGACCTAGAAGGAGGATATGTCAAGAAACAATAACTGCACATTTTGTTGTTTTTATCTAATCCAGAGTTCTATGATTTTGTAGCAACACAATGTGGCTTAACTTCATCTGTTAATACAAGTTACTCTTTAGCAGGGCTTGCTTTCTCCTTTGTGCCATTGTCCCGTTGAGTTCCACTCCCAGCAATTTCTCCTTGATGCTGCGCTTTGTCTGGGAAGGGAGATGCAGCTTGTTCATTTTGAGAATTTGTTCGCTCCCCACCCATCCAGCACCTCCAGCCCTTTCTGCTTATCAAAACCTATGCTCTCTCTCTCTCTGAAATTATTGTCTGCTGTCTGCCAGTTTCACTCCTTATCTCAGATTGGTCCTCTGTGTGTTTCAAGTGACTACCTGTGGGCAGGTGGGGGTTCTTCCATTTTCAGAACTTTCACATGTTCCATTGTCCTCCTACCACCCCCTCCTACTCGGTGTGGATATCAAGTTGATGCTTTATTTTTCTACCTAGTCCTATGGCACAGTTTGTGGAGATTCTTTGTCACCTAATTATGTTCCTGACTCTTTTCCTTTGCTATGCTAGCTCCATAGTTTTGATGAGATTCAAGAGCTTCAAAGACTATATTGACTATATTCTCGAAAACCATCTTCTGAAAGTCTTCAATATTCATGTACTACTTGGGAGGGGAAGAGCAAAGTATGTTTTTAAACATTTTAAGGGTAGACTTTCACTTTGTCTATGTTTTAGGTCATTCAAAATACACATGGAAATGGAGATCACAGATGAGAGAGGTTGATCAGTTCTTTCAGATAATTTTCTAGTCTTTGCTTTAAAAAATATATATGTTTTTTACTTTCTGAGACTGAAATTAAAGTACTTACAAATGTTACCCTACTTCCCCTACCTCCCCGATCTTAAATGATCAATTAAGTAGCATTTATGCATGTCTATGTCTTGTCTGTCAGTTTGTGGTGCTGTGGTGGCTAGTGTGTTACTGTGATGTTGGATGTCATGTCACTAATATGTCAAATGCCAAGAGGGTCACCCAAAGTGAACAGGTTTCAGCAGAGCTTCCGGACTAAGAACAGACTATGAAGGACTAGGCTGTCCACTTCAGAGAAACTGACCACTGAAAAGCTGATGAACAGCAGAGCATTGTCAGATACGGAGAACCTCATGAATAGCAGTGGGACACTGTCGGATACAATGCCAGGAAACAAACCTCTCAGGCGAGAGGGCACTCAAAATATGACCGAGGCAGAGCTGCCTTCTCAAAGTAGACTTTAATGTTACGGACGGAGTGTAACATGGCAAGATTCATCCACATGTTGTCAGGAGGGAAAAGTCCCTAGAAAAGGCCACCCACCATATTTGGTAAAGTAGAAGGGCAGCAAAAAAGACAATGACCCTGGATGAGATAGATTGGCAGAGTATAGCAACAGTTGTGAGGACGGCACGGGCCGGGCAGTGTGTAGTTCTGTTGTACCGAGGGCGACTATGCACAGGCATGGACTCCATGACACTTCTCAACAGCAGCGGCAGCCCAGTGGAGAACTCCTTCAGGAATGGAAGTCCAGCCATGGGCATAGTCTAGAATTATAACGTATCACATAAAGAATGAGGGCTAGGAGGGCCATATTAGTATATTGACTACATCTCAGATGTACAGTACAGGTTAGCAAGCAGGCTGCCCATTGTCTGAATGTGTCCATTAACAGGTTTTGTTTATTAATCTGCTCAGTATGTTTTAATGAATAGACTTATTGCCCACACTTAAAATTCAGCTGCCCCATAAAAATCCAGATTCCTGACTGTCCTTGAAGGGTGGAGGGAGAGTGGGTAGGAAAGAGGGAACCGATTACAAGGAACTATATGTGACCTCCTCCCTGGGGGATGGACAACAGAAAAGTGGGTGAGGGGAGACATCGGACAGGGCAAGATATGACAAAATAATAATTTATAAATTATCAAGGGCTCATGAGGGAGGGGGAGCCGGGAGGGAGGGGAAAAATGAGGACCCAATGCCGGGGGCTTAAGTGGAGAGGAAATGTTTTGAGAATGATAAGGGCAATGAATGTACAAATGCTCTTTACACAATTGATGTGTGTATGGACTGTGATAAGAGTTGTATGAGCCCCTAACAAAATGTTTTAAAAAAATAATAAAATGTGTCACTTGTACACAGAAAAGAAAAGAAAAAGAAAGAAAGAAAAATTGACCCCTGACAGCACAGGATCCGTGTGCCCATTTACAATTTGTACCATCACTAGGCAGGGACTATGCTCCCAGATCTCTGACACTTCCCTCCCCCATAACCTCTCTCTTGTCTTGCAGTTCCTACAGACATGATACAAGAGTAACCTCTGAGCCAGTTATTGTCTCTTATTTCACCCTCTTATCATCTAGGTCATCTTCTGATGGTGTCCAAATTAAACGTCCTCAAAACCAAATCTCCTATTTTTTAAGTCTGTTTTCTTCTACTATTCCTTTTCTGACCCAGTTAACAGCTTTACACTCCAACAAGTGTCCAAACTAGAAAAACCCTAGCCGTCCCTCCTTCTTCCTAAGCCCACTCAGTCTTTTGGTGACAAGTTCTGACATGTTTAGCATTTGGATTTTATGGGACCCAATATTTTGAAAACCCTTGGGAGCCCTGATGGCACAGTGGGTGCTAATTGGACTGTTAATTGCAAGTTCAACAGTTGAAACCATCAGTCCCTCTGTGAAAGAAAGATGAGGTTTTCTACTTCCGTCAACAATTACAGGCTGGGAAACCCACATGGGTAGTTTTACTGTCCTCTAGGGCTGCTATGGCTGGGAATCGATTTGATGACAGTGTTTACTTTCTGCAATTTTCTCTTATCATCTGGCAAACTCTTACTTACAAGATCTATCAAGATTATTTCATTTCCACAACTGTGTCCTGCCTCCGGGGAGCATTTGGTTATAGGCACCTGAGTGCATAGTATTTACCGTACTGCCCCACTGACTAAATCAAACGGATTAAGTCATCTTTGCATGCTGAATACCAAAATAAAAAAATCCAACAAATTTGTATCAGATGGGTAAATGCATTAATTTTAAAAGTCAATGGAAGCATTTCTTTCATATCACATGATGTAGCTGTCCCAAACTATACCAATGTTTAATATTAAAGGGCTAAATTGGCCTTTTCTACTAAAATTTGGTGCTCACTTTGGTGTTAGAATCTTTAAACAAAATGTCGATTGTTTTTTAAAATAGCATTAGTGTTAGAATCAGTTGACTGCAAAATTAAATAACTATTCAAAAGAAAATCTATTCTGATTTCATTATTAAAATATATGGACTTTCTTTTTAGTCATTTAAACGCCTTGATTTAAATATATCTTTAAGGATGCTAAGAATTAACTCTGAAAAAAATTATTATTAATAAAACAGATCCTATAGTGGTAACTGAACAGCTGTTAAAAGATTTGGCACATTACTATGCCAGCCTGAATTTAATGACCTACATGTGAAGGGCTACATATCTGATTACTAATCCTCCCTCAGCTACTCTTTGCCCTGATATGGAGGCAGCTGAGAAAAGATGCCCTACTAGCAGATCAGAAATGGATCCAAACTTAGTTACCAATGCTCACTTAACAAAGATCTTCTTTCAGATTTCAGAAGAAGAAACACAGAAAGTGACCCCAAGTTTCACTGCCTATATAGTTTTCCAAATAAAATTTGAATTTTTAAGCAATGGATTCAATTTTGTGACTAAAACTCAAAAGATAAACTTTAATTTTTTTACAGAACCCAATATTCTCAATTTTCTATTGCATTGAAGCCTTCACACATGTGTAAACGTCTCCAAAGATCAATAATATTTATATCAGAATTCTTTCCAGATGTCTTCAGAATTTCAAACCTCATTCTCTTCTTCATATTCTACAGTGATCACCTTTTAAAATAAGACCGAATCAAAAAACTAAATAGAGTGATAATCTGGAATTAAGTTTCTGTTCTCCCTCATTTGACTTGGTCTATATTTAGCAGAAAGATTATGTAAGGTCAAATATTAAAAACAATGAGATGTCATTTGATATTTTGACAAACAGCACAGGAAAACTTAATGGGAAGTAAGTTATCGCCGCAAGCAAGAGGAAAGGCTCAGAAATTCTAGTTTAAAAATATGCATCTTTACTGATAATTTGACTCACATTTAAAAATTGGGCTTGTCGTTGTGGAAAGCCGTGTAATTGTGACAAACCTTTTCTCTATATTTTAGAATATGAGGGCTTTACAAAGTTCATGGGAAAATTCCTTTCCTTTTGAATCCCATTTTTTTCTCCAACTTTTTGGAAGACCCCCTCCTAGCTTGAGCGAGAGATGCCCTTCTCTCATTCCTAACAGAGAAGCAAAGAAGAGCCTTTTGTCATCGTTTTACAATTTTATGAGTGGGGTATTCTAATGCTTTCACAAGCGCATTTACGACTGACTATACGACCAGCCATTCGCCTCCTGCAGGATAAAGACACAGCATCGCAATCGCCTCCATTCCATTATCCCACAGCTCCAGGCCCCGCCCACGGAAACCTCCCCTTTCCCGGACTTCTGGCTCTGAGTTGGCGCAGTTTAATGACGCAACGCGTAACGGCCGCAGCCTCCTACGTGCAGCTGCGGGCCATGATTCTGGGAGTTGAAGTTTCCGGAGGAGATAACGTGAGCTGAAGAAACACCCCCTCAAAAGCTTCCTGCGTATCCTCTCACGCCCCCCGCCAACTTCTCCACTAGGTAAGGGTCCTGATATGGGGGTGTCGTTCGCCTTGCTCCTCGGTGCCCTCTCGGAGCAGAACGCCAACGGGCCCGTGCGGCGCCGCCCTCGGTCTGCAGGCCGCGCTTCCGGGGACGGGGAGCCCGTGCTCGGGGGAAGTGGTCTGCGGCGTGCTGGTTCCCGCAGGAAGTGACGTCGTTCCAGAGCGCGCGCTCGGCTCGGCGAGCCTCTCCCTGATTCGCTGGCTGCCGCGCAGCGTGGCCCCGCGGTGCGTTCTCCGGCGGGGGGTCTGGAAGCTTGCGTGGGCTTGCTTTTCCTGCACGCGGTGCCGTTTTGTTCTGTGGGTTTTTTCTCTTCTTTCTTCCCTTCCGCGTTACTTTGGGGATTCGAATCCGATCTTTCGTGTGAAGAGTGTGAGCGTACAACGGGTGAAGGGCCTGAACCTGAGAACGAGTTGGGGTTCTGTGCCACGTGGTGGCGGTGGCTGGAGACCGTTGGCACGTGACTTTACCTCTTCAGACCTGCCTCCCCTCCCCTCTGCGATCTGGGGCTACTCTAGCCTAAAGCTGTGGACGGAACCTGGGGAACTGAGGGGACGCTGCTGCAGGTGCTGTCGCCTCGCGGTGGTGAGCGTAGGGCAGTTTTCAGAACACGGAAGCGTGACATATATTTAGTGTTAAAAATTAGGGCTCCCCCCTCTAAAGGTAAAAGAGGTGAAGTACACATAATTTATTCCACCGCACCCCACCCCTATATATGCTAAACCTGTTCGCAGCCTCCTCCTCGCTCCTCTCTCCTTCCGCCCTCTCCCAAGGAGCTTGGCAGCTGAACAAAGACCTCTGCTGCTGAGTTGGGCGGGCCCGGTTTTTCCCCCGGGTTGGTTTTGTTTTTGAAAGGGTACGTTTTCATTACCACCAGGTCACTTAACTCATTCTACAATGATTCCAACAGTCGTTCGCATCTTTTCAGACAGTGGACTATGTTATCAAAAGTGTGAGGACTTTATTTTAGCTCAGTCGATAAGACCCTTGGAAGTTGTTTTGATCAGTTTCGTATTATACGTTTATTATTTTGGTCCTCCCTACCTAAAACTGCTAAGCCATGCCTAGTGCCACCTAGCGGATTGCAACTCCTAGCGACCCTATCATAGAGTACAAGTAGAACCTTCCTATTAGGGTTTCCAGCCCCACTAGAGAAGTCAGCTGCCAAATCTACAGCTGGTGGTTCAACTGACCTTTGTGTTGCCCCACTCCAATAGCCTTCCTCATCTCTATCCAGTTTTAAGTTTGAATGGACTACTTGATAGCCTATTTCTGTGACTAAATGAACCGCCCCACCCCCAATTAAATTGACATTATGATTACTATAAAACTTAGTTATTGGTTGGATTTGAATGCATGGATAGGAGTGTGTTTTGAGCATTACTGTATGTCAAGAAATAACACAAAACTCTCAGCATATAAATATAGCCCAAACTAGAAAACAATCAGAAACCACGTATGGTTAATAAAATTGCTTAGCAGGCATTCAGAACATGCTAACACTCAATGAAGTTTTTCCTGTATAGCATAGGCAGTATGAGTTGATAAGATACTTTTGTGTATCGAAGGCATGCTGTAAGCAGTCTGTCAAACTAGAATCCTTTGTCTTGTACTCCACTTATTTATGCCTCAGTGTACCTCGTTTACTGAAAACAAACCAATTGCCAGGGCCTTACGTGGAGAGCAAATGTTTTGAGAATGATGAGGATAACGAATGTACAAATGTGCATTATACAATTGATGTATGGATTGTGATAAGAGTTGTCTGAGCCCCTAATAAAATGGTTTTTTAAAATGACGACAACAAATGTACAAATGTGCTTGACACAATGGATGGTGTATGGATTGTGATAAGCGCTGTACAAGCCCCCAATAAAGTGATTAAAAAAATAAACCAATTCACTTAGCATAGTGCATCTTAATTGGTATTTGCTTAAAAAAAACATGCTGATGCCCTCCTGGCCTTTCCTGGTATTTGATAGGCTATTGAAAAACAATAGTAAACTGTGATAGGCCAAGTTGAATTTAACTTGACATTTCTTCAGTTGGAAAGCTTAAAGCTCCCCCTGGTGTACACACGCTACAAAATGTTGCTTTAATTTTCACTTTATGGAGCTGCTCAATACTTGTAGTTTTTGAAGAAAATAGAGAGTTATCTAAGAACAAGGCCACAGTTGAATGGACTTGTTTTATCTTGGAATAACAATATTCCCTGAAGAGAACCATTTGTTTCTAGCCAATTTTAACTATGCATTTTAGCTTTGTGTGCCTCCTGTTGTCTCTACTATACATTGTTTTGGATCCCGGCACTTCTTAATTTAACTTTTACTATGTTTGGAAAGAAAATAACAATGATCCCACAGGACCCCTGGTGGCACTGTCGGTTAAGCATTGGAGGCTCAAAGCCACTAGAATGTGACTAGGTTCTTCTATGGAGAAAGATCAAATTCTAAAGATTTACAGCTTTGGAAACCCTGGAAAGGGTCACTGAGTAGGATTCTACTCCTTGTCCAGCCTGCCTGTTTTTCTGGTTCTCATCACTGCCATTGAGTCCATGCTGACTCAGGGTGACCCTGTAGGACAGGGTAGAACTGCCCTTGTGGCTTTCTGAGGCTATAAACCTTAACAGGAGCAGAAAACCTTATCTTCTGCTGAGCTTCTGATGGGCTTCTTAACTGCTGTCCTTGCATTAGCAGCCTAAGACTTAACTTGCTACCACCAGCGCTCCTTTTGTCTTATTCACAATACATATTTTTGCATTTCTTCTAATCTTTTCAGGCTTCCTAGGTTCCTTTTCTTCAAGTTCCATAAATTGAATGCCTACTCCCTAGCTGAAAACATATTTTTTTTAATGAGTGGATTTTCGTTAAGTGCTATTTTTAATTGCCTTTTTTATCTGTCTCTCCCAGCTCGTTGCCTAAGTTTTTCAACACTCCTTTGTATTCTATTTCCTTTCCGCTTCTATGTGATAAATCCTAAGTCAGATTGCCAAGATGTCTTCCAGTTCGTCCCTTCTCTAAAGTTTCTTATCTTTTGAAATTCCTTATTTGTTCATTTCCTGGATTTCAAATTACTTTTTGTTATTTTTCTCTTGTTTATATGGTTCCTCTCCCTTTATGGAGGGAACCCTGATGATGTGGTGGGTAAAAATGCCCAGCTGCTAACCAAAAGGTCAGCCTTTTGGACCACTATGTGTTCAGCCAGAGAAAGGTGTGGCATTCTGTGTCCATAAAGATTACAGGCTGGAGCATTTGGGGGGCAGTTTTCATCTGTCCTGTAAGGTTGCTGTAAGCTAAAATGGACTCAGTGGCACACAATAACACTACTCTGTGAGCTTCCTGAAATATAATAACCTTTCAAAGCCATTTTCAAAATCTTCCATTTTCAACTTGTGTATTTGTTTTTTGTTTGTTGTTAGGTGCCATTGAGTCAGTGTGTACTCATGACAACCACAGAATGAAACACTATTTGTCCTGCATCCCTTCTCACCATGTGTGAGCCCATGGTTGTAGTCTTGTGTCGATCCATTTTGTCCAGGGGTTTTTTCTTTTTCAAAGCATGATGTCTTTTTCCAGGGAGTGGTCTCTCCTGGTGGGATGAAGTCTGTTCATTCTTGCCTCTAAAGAACATTCTGGCTGGACTTCTTCCAAGACAGCTTTGTTTGCTCTTTTTAAGCCCATGGTATTTTGAATAATATTTGCTGGCACCATAATTCAGATGAATTGATTCATCTTTGATCTTCCTTCTTTAATGTGTAGCTTTCACATGCATATGAGGCGAATGAAAATACCCTGGCACACCATAGTCCTCAAAATAATGTCTTTGTTTTCTACACTCTAAAGAGGACTTATTGAGTAGATTTACCCAATTCAGTAGGTCATCTGATCTTTGACTGCTGCTTCTATGAACAATGATTTGTGGATCCAAGACAAAATCCTTGATCTTTTCTCCATTTATCATGATGTTATTTATTGGTCCTGAGAGCGTAGTGGTTACAAGTTGGGCTGCAATCCGAAAGGTCAGCAGTTTGAAACCAACAGCTGCTCCAAGGGAAAAAGACAGGGCTTTCTACTCCCATAAAGAGTTACCTTCTTGGAAACTCACCAGGGTATTTCTACCCAGTCCTATAGAGTCACTCAGAGTCGGCATCCACTTGATGGCAGAGAGCTTGGATTTTTGTTTTGTTTCGTTTTGCTACCAATTGGTCCAGCTGTGATTTCTTTACATTGAGTTGTAATCCATATTGAAAGCTGTAATCTTTGATCTTCAGCAATTGCTTCAATTTCTCCTCACTTGCAGCAAACAAGATTGTGTCTGCTGCATATCACAGGTTAATAAATTTTCTATCCTATGTGTTCTTCATAGAATTTAACTTTTGTTCAGCATACAGATAGAATAATTATGGTGAGAGAATCCAACCCTGATGCACACCGTTCCTGATTTTAAACCATGCAGTGTCCCCTTGTTCTGTTCACACAACTGCCTCTTGATCCATGCACAGGTTCCACAAGAGCACAATGAAGGGTTCTGGAATTCTCACTCTCCAGGCTAGCATAGTTTGCTATGACCCACATATACAAATGCCTTGGTATAATCAATAAAACACAAGTTAAACAACTTTCTGGTGTTCTCTGCTTTGTACAAAAATCCATCTGACATCAGCAATGATATTCCTTGTTTTTCACCCTCTTCTGAATCTGGCTTGAACCCCTGTCAGCGTACTGCTGCAACTGTTGTTTTATGGTCTTCAGCAAACTTTGTATATGGAATGAATCTGGTGGTTGAGTTGGTAGGATTTATTTTCATCCATCTCGTATCTTTCTGTGATTTTACTCATTTTGAATGGTTCTAATTGCTTCCCCTCTCCTGCCGCTTTTTGCCTACAACTGACAGAGGTGCTCCTGTTGGTGATGCTTCCTAATGTTGCAGCCCACAGCAGGTTTTATATACCCAGCCCAAACCAAACCGCTACTGCCTTCAGTAGGTGGTTCAGAGTTCCGATCCCGTAGTGTTAAAAGTTATTACCTCACGGCTTGACTCCCATTCTAGCTGAGAAGCTCTGTCTGCTTCCTATATTCCTGGTATAAGCCACAGGTTAATTGCCCCTGTAGTTTTAGGTTATCTGTCTTCCATGTCCTATCTTATATTGTTATTCCTTCAACCATAAAATTATGAGGCCACCCAGAAGGGACAATTTCTGTTCCATTTCTTATTTTCACTTTTAATAGAGTTTACCTTTATTTATTTATCTGTTTATTTTTACGGAAGCTTTGGTGGCAGAATGGTTGACGCACTGAAAGGTCCGAGGACCAAAGCCACCACCCTCTCCATGGGAGAAGACTGTGGCAGTGTTTCCATAGGATTTGTTGTTGTTGGGTGCTGTGGTGTTGGCTCTGGCTCATGGCAGACTCCGGTAGAACAAGGAAACACTGCCCAGACATGAGTCATCCTCATGCTAGTTACTTTGTGGAAGTATTGTTGAAGCCATTGTGTCAGCCCATCTCATTGAAGGTCTTCCTCCTTTTCATTGATCCGTTACTTCACCAAGAAGGATGTCTTTCTCCAGTGACTAGTTTCTCCTGATAACATTTCCAGAGTGTTTAGATGAAAACTTACCATTCTTTCTTCTAAAGAACATTTGACCTGTACTTCCAGGTGCTTCGTGTGCATGTGAAAGCAGGACAATGAATAAGAAAGGCCTAAGAATCTTGCAGAGGGGTCTAGATGAGCCAGACAGGGTGCGATGTAGCAACGATGAAAAATACAACTTTCCTCTGGTTCCTAAATGCTTCCTCCCCGCCCCCACTATCATGATACAAATTCTACCTTGCAAGTCTGGCTAGACCAGAGGATGTACACTGGTACAGATATGAACTGGAAACACAGGGAATCCAGGGCGGATGATCCCTTCAGGACCAGTGGTGTGAGTGGCGATACTGGGAGGGTAGAGGGAGAGTGGGTAGGAAAGGGGGAACCAATTACAAGGAACTATATGTGACCTCCTCCCTGGGGGACAGACAACAAAAAAGTGGGTGAAGGGAGACGTCGGACAGGGCAAGATATGACAAAATAATAATTTATAAATTATCAAGGGCTCATGAGGGAGGGGGGAGGGGGGAGCGGGGAGGGAGTGGAAAAATGAGGACCTGATACCTGGGGCTTAAGTGGAGAGGAAATGTTTAGAGAATAACGAGGGCAATGAATGTACAAATGCACTTTACACAATTGATGTATGTATGGATTGTGATAAGAGTTGTATGAGCCCCTATTAAAATGCTTTAAAAAAAAAGAAAGGCCTAAGAAGAATTGATGGAGCCTGGAGGTGTAGTAGGTTGGTCACATGATGGGCTGCTAATCACAGTCAGCAGTGTGAAGCTGCCAGCCACTTCCCAGGAGAAAAATGAGCTTTCTACTCCTGTGAAAATTTAAAGAACAATATCACATGCAAGTAAAATTTTGTGAAGATCATCCAACAACAGTTGCAGCAGTACATTGACAGGGAGCTGCCACGGATTCAGGCTGGATTCAGAAGAGGACAGGAACGAGGGCTTTCTCTGCTGATGTCAGATAGATCTTCGCTGAAAGCAGAGGTCACGAGAAAGTGCTTTCCTTGTGTTTTATTCACTATGCAAGACATTAAACTGTGGATCATAACAAACTGGATAACCTTGAGAAGAATGGGAATTCCAGAGCACTTCATTGTGCTCATGTGGAACCTGTACAAGGACCAAGAGGCCATTGTGTGAACAGAACAAGGGAATAGCACGCAGTTTAAAATCAGGAAAGGCATGCAGCAGGGTTGTATCCTCATCATAATTATTCAATCTGTATGCTGAGCACATCATCAGAGAAACATTCTTCATTATATGAAGAATGCGGCATCAGGATTGGAGGAAGGCTTAGCGACCTGCTGAGAGGTCCGCACAGACACTGAGGGAGATAGGACTGAGACAAGGAATGTGAGGTTAAGAGCTGCTTTATTAGGTAGGGTAGGAGCTCCCAGGAGGGAAGGGAGCAGAGAGAGGGACTGGAGCATCTTGAGCTCCTGGAAGGTTCCGAGACTCAACGAGTGGGGTCAGGGAAATCACAGCCTGTCGGTGAGGCGGTGGGAGATACAGAGGGCTTGAGCTAGGGAGGTAGATGTTGACAACAAGAAGGGAGATTTTTTGCTTGCAGCTGCAGGACCTTGAGTCAGGATGTGATCCGTGGGAAGTGCCTTTGTTGTTTGCCAACCTGCTCCCTGGAGTGCTGGGACAGGGGCTGCACAATTGTGGTCTGGAGAGATAAAAGCTTCTTGGAATGTTGGGGCAGAAGATGCATACTCCAATAGGTCATTTATCCTCCCAAGAGGCTGGAAATGGGGCCCTTGAAGATCTATCTTCCTGAGGAGCTGGAGAGGAGATGCGGGCTGCCTAGTCCAGACCCTCAAACACCTGCTGTATGCAGAAGACAATCTTGCTTGAAAGTGAGGAGGACGTGAAACACTTGCTGATGAAGACCAATAACTGCAGCCTTCAGTATGGATTACAACTCAGTGTAAAGAAGAGGACAAGGTGCGCCTGACCCAAGCCAGGGAATTTTCTATTGTTTCATATACGTGTGACTGTTGGACGTTAAATGAAGAAGAACCAATGTGTTTGGTTTATGATGCTGGTAAAGAGTATTAAAGGTACCATGGACTGCCAAAAGAACAAGCAAATCTGTCTTGGAAGAAGTAGAGCCAGAAAGCTCCTTAAAGGCAAGGATAGTGAGACTTCGTCTCTTCAATGTTGGACATGTTATCAGAAGAGAGCAGGCCCTGACAAACTATACCATGCTTGGTAAAGTTGGGGGGGGGTGGGGGGAGTGTAAAAGAGAAAGGCCCTAGGTAAGATGGATTGACACAGGGGCTGCAACAATGGGATCAAACATGATGGCGCAGGTCTGAGCAGGGTTTTGTTTTGGTATATAACAGATTGCTATGAGTTGGAACCAACTTGATGGCCCCAAACAACAATAACATTTGATTGTTTATTTGTGTTTTCACCAATATATAAGACACATGTAGCACGGGGCAGCCACCTACTACTGGTAATACAAGTATAATGTTCTGCAAAAGCAGACAGTATCACTACACTTGGAATTTACAGCGTAGAATCAAATCTGAGGTGTACTTTCTAGGAGGTATATTGAGGCTATTACTACAGGCAACAAATGGCATTCTATTAATGCTGGGGATAAGGAAAATTTGTAAACACTCATTCAAATGACTAGATGATTATGCCCCACCCGACCATCCTTAGAAACTTGTGACATAGTAAATGCCAGCGTTTTTGCTGTCGTCTTCAAAATACACATCTACTTTTAGCTTAGGAAAAATTTGGTAAACTTAGTATGTTGTTTTAGTTATCCCCCTGTGTCCTATTATAACATTACACTTAGGAAAGCAGGAATCATATAACATTAACTACTGTTTAAATTATAGTATTCTGAAAATGTTTTGTCATTACATTATCTAAATTGTTGTAATTAAAATATATATATATATATATGTATATTTTAGCCAGACTAGTTAACTTTCTTGGAGGATTGTAGAATTTTTCCTAAGTCAATAGAACATTTGTAAGCTCTATACTTACTGTTTGGTTGGAATAAAGAACATACATTTTAATCCTTGTTCTCAATTTATCAAAAGGGAAAGAAATCTCAGTATTCCCACCCCTTTTCTTAATTCTAAAGACAAGTTCAGTTTGAGTCAGGAGGCCGGAAGACCTGTGTGGTTTAATGACGTTTGAGAGGACTCGATAGCAGTCTTGTGCTGTCTAAGAGGCCAGTCTGATTCCATGGCCTTTTTCTGCGTTTTGTTCTTAACCACGACAAAAGTGAAATATTTACAGTTCATATATTTGCAGTCAACTATAATAGAGCGGCACCCAAATGTTATTGTCTATACTGTGTAAACTTTATATATTTGAAGTATATATTTTGTCAAAAACTTTTTAAGAATGTGACCCCAGATGATGTACAAAGCATTCTTAATTGCTTAGTCTGTAGCATTAAAGAATACCAACCAAAGTGCTTTCCATCTCTTTCTTTAAGTAACATTTTTTCACAGTATACAGTGTTGTTTCCACTATATAAATAAATGTTCAGAAAATTTAGAATACCATGGGTGAAAATTAAGCATCTGTATGTATATTTTCTTTTAAAATAAAAATTGGATATAATATGTATACTGACTTTTATTTTTTAATGTAACAATCATTTCCCAATATCACTAAATGTTTTTGGGACATATGGTTTTTTTTTACTGACTGCTTAGAATTCACTCCTGGTCCATATTACAGATGAACAATAATTTATTTAGTCCCTTTTTACTGATAATCAAGTAGTTTCTAATTTTTCATTCTTAAAAATAACATTCCAAGGCATATACCCTTGTGTATTATTTTTGTATACATTTATAAACCTCTTGTTGGAATGATCCTAAAGAAATAAATTACTGGGTCAAAAAATTTGAATATCATCCTGTGTTGCCTTTTGAAAAATTTTCCATGACCTTCATTAGAGCACCGTTTTATCAAACCTTTACCAACTTCCCAGTACTGAAAACCAAACCAAACTTACTACCATTGAGTTGACTCTGACAGCTCCCATTCCTATAGGACAGGGTAGAACTGCCCCTGTGGCTTTCCAAGACAGTGACTCTTCACAGGTGTGTAGACCGCTTCATCTTCCTCCCATGGAACGGCTGATGATTTTGAACTATTGACTCTGCTATTAGCAACCCAGTGCATAACCACTATGCCACCAGGGTTCATAAGTGACACTTAATTGATCTTAAGTGATAGCTTGATGATCTTTACCAACAAGTGACATTTAATTGTCTAAATTTTCATTTGATTTATTGAAAGCATGGCCTAGGTTTTTCACATCTATTGCTTTTGTTTTTATGCTTTGTGCTTGTGAATTATTTATGGCCAAAATTGCTTTACAGATTTCCAGAAGCACCAAATTATGTCTTCTGAAATGTTGCCAGCTTTTATTGAGACTTCTAATGTTGAGAGAAGACAAAACTTAGATGAAGATCAAGAGGAGAGCCAGAAGCCAAGGTTGGGTGAAGGGTTGGAATCCATATCTAAACGACAAATGAAGAAGCTAATAAAACAAAAACAATGGGAAGAGCAGCGAGAACTCCGCAAGTATGTCCTTCAAAACATAAATTCCTTACCTCTATCAGAAGCATAGATTATCGGACCTTTTGGAAGCCCTGTGGCACATTGCAAATTACGTTGTTAAAATCAGGGGGTACGCACAGTGCTGGCTAATGCTGTCAATGGCCAGTTAAATCTATGTGCCTTGAGTTACCACTGTGTTTAGAGTAGTGTTGAATTTTCATTGAACTCTTTTTTTCTTACCCAGAACCTACTATAAATAGTAGTACAGGTTCTGAAACAGCCTATTTAGGCCAAGGATATACTTACTGTCCACGTACTAACTCATGAAGGCCACAGTTTTGCCCAAACCTGATTTTGCTAGAAGTAGCATTTTAAACTGATAAGAGCATTTTCCCTGAAGTTGTTATTTTATAATGTTATTTTATAAATTTACTTGGAGAAAATGGACCAAAATTAATGTAACCTAGAGAAAAAGTATATGAAAGTTTTTGTTGGATTTTTTTAACCAATTTTATTTTTCTTTCTATATTTTTTAAACATTGCATGGAAGAATGATGACAAGTAAAGCTGATCATAACTCTCAAGTTCAGTTTTCTTAGAATACATAGTGTGATACCAAAAATAAATATTGAGTATTTGGATATAGTTATTATTTGTATAGAAAGCTTTAGATCGTTTTTGCACTCGTTTCCATGTAGAACCTTTATTTTTGTAGTTTTAAAACTTTTTATTGTAAGTTAGATGGAGGTTTGCAGAGCAGACCCTCAGCTTTACGGGAAACAGTTTGTACACATTCTGTTTCGCCTCATTCATTGCAGTCTAATCAAAGTAGCCTCACCATCTTGCCTCCTGGCCTGTTTTATTGGATTCATTCCTCCTCTTTTCCTACCCCTTCTGAAATGTGTCCTCAGGCACATGCTACTCCCTTCAACCCAAACTATTCTAGTTGTCTGCACCACTCTTTTATAGACTGACCGTAAGTTGTTTGGCTGAAAATTGAACCACAAGGGTGAGTTCAGTTCCAAACCCAAAAGGTGGCCAAGGGCCATGCTCTCAGGGGTCTCACCAGTCCCTCCCAGACCAGCAAGCCTGGTTTCTTTCATCATGTTGAGCTCTTCCACTGTCTCGAAGACCTTCTAATACGACTCATTTCAGTGCACTTAGTAGTGGTAATCGGATCTGTAAAATTGCCAATAACCCATCAATTTTTGATCTCACAGATATAGTGGTTTCATGTGGTTCAACCTGATAATTTAAAAAAATGTTTACTTAGAAGAGCCTTATGCAAAGATGGATATACAAGTGATAACATGAAGTTATTTTAATTACTAATTTTAGACAAAAACGAAAAGAAAAACGCAAGAGAAAACAACTAGAGCGACAGTGTCAGCTGGAACCCAACTCTGACGGACATGACAGGAAGCGAATGCGAAGAGACGCTGTTCGAAGCCCCCTCCGCCTCATCGTTGACTGTAGTTTTGATGGCTTGATGGTATTGAAGGTATCACGAATCATTGTCTGTATAGTGGAATAGGCTGACTCATTCTTGCACTCTCACTTTAACTTTAGTGCGCTGAACTACATCTGAAATCAAGTTTTTAAACAATCTGTGCTCCCCCCAATGAAGTTAGCTTATAAGTTGTCATCAATTATAGGATATGTTTATATATATATATATATATATACTTATAGCTAGAGAGAAGCAAAAGCTCTATGATTGGATTGTAAAACTCAGAAACCTCTTTTTCATCATAAAGCTTTTGGGTTTTTTATTTATTTTTTGCTGGCAGGGAGGCAGTTATCCTAACCAAATAGAAAATGTAATTGACTTAATAGCATTCTTCTTACTCAATTGTTTTAGAAACCTCATTGTTTGAGCAATGAAGAAAATATGCTTTGATTATTTTCTCTAATCCATTATAAGTCATGAAAATAGTTAAGAGGATAATTTTATAATGGGGTTTTCCTTTTGGCCAGCTCTTACAAAGAGAAAATTCTCACGAGCTAGCGTGTTAAATAACACAGTATAGGAAATAATGGATCACCTACTGAGTATTGGGAGTCCTGGTGCTAAAAACTAGTTAATAAGCTGAGCTGCTAACCAAAAGATTGGTGGTTCAAATCCACCCAGAGATACCTTAGAAGAAAGTCCTGGCAAGCTACTTCCCCCAAGTCAGCCAGTGCAAACCTGTGAAGCACCACACACACACACACACACACACACACACACACACACACACACGGTTGCCATGTATTTGAATCAACTCAATGGCAATTGGTTTTATAGAGTGTTAACTTGTTCTGGTAATTATTGTTAGTCTGTAAGGATGAATGAAAATTATGAGGATGGACTTAAACTTCAAAAGAATTGTAGTCACCCCTTCTGCTTATTCATTTCCACTGAGATTGTAGAATGGTCATAAATGTGATAACTCAGTGAATTGCACTTTTCTGTAGGACATTAAGAAACTTCATAAACAGATCCAACGATGTTATGCAGAAAATCGACGAGCCTTGCATCCTGTGCAGGTAACATGTCTAGAATTTAAAACACTACAATTTCTATCACAGGTGTATTCTTGTATGATTAAAGAGTGTTACACGTGTATTTTCACATGTACAAAGTGTGTCTGTCACAAACTGGTTCTTTCCTTGATCAGTGAGAATGACTATATTTTGCATTTTGCTGATGATCACATGAGTGGATTATGGAAATAAAATACTGATTTACCTAGTCATTTTGCTCTCTTTCCACCCATACCCACCGATTGCTTATCAGTTTTACTTGACAAGCCATGGAGGCCAGCTGAAAAAAAACATGGATGAAAACGACAAAGGATGGGTTAACTGGAAGGTAATTAAAGCAGATTAACTGTCACCTAATTTCAGTGATTGGTATGCCTCTGAATGTCTGCATGTGGCCTAAATTCTAGAGAATACTATGGACGATAGGAGCAGGAAGTCTCCAAACCCTGCGTGCCACTGGTGCACAAAACTGAGGGGGTCCCTGAGAGAACTTGAAATGAATCAGAAGCCT